TCCCTGAAACCGTCTCGTACCTCATAAAAGACAGATCTCCCAGCGAACAGGCTATGTACGCAGATGAGATCGGATGGTCACTCAAGAATGAACACGAGATATAACGTGGCAAAATGATAGGATTATTATATTTGTTTAAATTAATATGTTTGCGATTCTGGCAATGTTTGTTTGATAGTAACGCGTTATGCTGCTGGCATGTGCTCGCGTAGATTTACTAAATTTTGTGGAAACAATATGTTACAGCAGTTTTTTGTTTTCGAAAATGCCACATAAAGCCAACTTCTTGAATATAAGCAATACTTAAGAACAAGATGCGTAATTATTTATTCCTCTTCACACATTCAATAATGTTAAAAAGAGCAGTTTTCATAAAGGTTATGAGCAGGTAGGTAGAAATGGATCCACCGATTATGGCCGCCGACCTTGTAGGGAGAGCCCAGTATGCGGAAAACTCAATGAAGGAAGGAAGGAGTTTCCGTCGGTCAGTACAGTCTGTGTCAGGGGTCCGCAGTGGCCGCACGGTCTGAGGCGTGGGCCTTGTGCCGCTTGGTCGCTGGGACCGTGGGTTCGAATCCCACTCAAGCCATGGATGTTTGTCCGCGTTTTTGTGTTGTGCTGTCCTGTGTACAGGTAGAGGCCTTGCGACGGGCCGATCCCTCGTCCAAGGAGTCCTACCGAATGACTATAGATCAAGACAACGAAAAGTTGACCCGCAGTGCTCAGGCACTGTAGAACGGGTCGTTCCCAGTATCCCAGTACAGTCTGTGTCAGTGCTGCAGTGTGCAAGCCTGATATTGTTGTCTTGTGACTGTGCTGTGTTAAGAACATGCCACCTGTTCGTTGCAATCTCCTTTCTGGTCATTGATAACGCCTCGTATCACAGACAAACCACCGACGTCTTAATCAAAGAAGGACGAAATGAAAACCTGGCTACTGGAAATAAACATCCGATTTTGTTACAACGTGTTGGAAGCTCAACTGTACGATTTAATCAAATTAAATAAGTCAAAGCACAAATATTATTTGATTGAACAGATTTCAGCAGACAAAGACTGTACTGTGCTGAGACTTCCGCCGTACCATCCCGATTTAAACTCCATTGAACTTATTTGGGCAGATGTAAAATAATGGGTTTTCACAATTCTTGTGACGTTTTGACACTTATGGACAAAATTCGTCACGCCGTTACAGTACGTCACGCCTAGTCACGCTTAGATACTCTTTTCATATCTTCGTCTTGTCACCCCTTTATTGCAGGTCACGCCTATTCACGCTTTGTCACGCTTCGTAAATCTTGGTGATCCCTTGTCACGAGGTGAAACTAGGTCACGCCTGGTCACGCTTTGTCACGCTTTTGCACGCATGGTTATTAAGTCACGCTTCGGCACGCTTACGACATGTTACGTAAGGCTCGGTTAATTTTGGCTACTTTGCTATACGTTAGATTAAGTTTCGACATGTTGGGTTAGCTCAGAAATGTTCGATTAGGTTAGGTTAGGATAGGTCGGGTTAGGTTAGGTTGGGTAGGGTTATTTTAGGTTACGTTAGGTTTGGTTGAGTTATGTTAGGTTCAGTGAGGTATCCTTAGTGGATATTGTCAGGTTAGGTAACGTTTTGGAAATTTTTTTGACGTTTTGACACTTATGGTCACAATTCATCACGCCGTTACAGTACGTCACACCTAGTCACGCTTCGTCACGCTTGGTCACGCGTTGTAAATATTCGTCTCGTTTCGACATTTCTGGACACATCTCGTCTCGCCGTTACAGTACGTCACGCCTAGTCACGCTTTGTCACCCACGAGCACGCTTGGTCACGCTTAGTGGATTTTGTTGTGTTTGGTAACGTTTTGACACTTATGGCCACAATTCGTCACGCCGTTACAGTACGTCACGCCTAGTCACGCTTGGTCACGCTTTGTAAATATTCATCTCGTTTCGACACTTCTGGCCACATCTCGTGTCGCCGTTACAGTACGTCACACCTAGTCACGCCTGGTCACGCTTGAGCACGCTTTGTCACGCTTTGTAAATATTCGTCTCGTTTCGACATTTCTGGACACATCTCGTCTCGCCATTACAGTACGTTACGCCTAGTCACGCACGAGCACGCTTGGTCACGCTTAGTGGATTTTGTTGTGTTCGGTAACGATTTCACAATTTTTGTGACGTTTTCACACGTATGGCCACAATTCGTCACCCTGTTACTGTACGTCACGCCTAGTCTCGCTCTGTCACTCTAGAGCACGCTTGGTCACGCTTAGACACTCTTTTCCAATCTTAGTCGTATTTGAACACGTGTGGTGACCTCTCGTCAAGCTTTTATAGCATGTCATGCCTAATCACGCTTTTGTCTCGCTTGGTCACGTTTGGTCACACTTTGTAAATCTTCGTCACGTTTCTTCAGATATGGTGATCAATTTTCAGGACGTCAAAGCACATCACGCCTAGACACGCTTTATCACGCTTGGGCACGCGTGGTCACTAAGTCACGGTTTGGCACGCTTACGTTATGTTACGTAAGGTTCGGTTAATTATTGCTAAATTGCAATACGTTAGATGAAGTTACGATAGGTTAGGTTAGGTTAGGTTGGGTTAGTTTGCTTTTATTATGGGAGGTTTAGTAGATGAGCTTATCTTAAGCTATCCACAAAAAATGTTCAGTTGCTGTATTCGAATTATTTTGAATTCCTGTTGCAAAATTTACACTGCGTCAAATTATATGTTGTCAATAATGAGTTTCCTTACTGTTGCTTTTATTGAGATAGTCTATATTTATGTCACCACAAATTCATAATTCAGATTCTGAATCATATAGATACTTTAAAGAAGCATCTAATCCTCTTAGAATTTTATTAAAATCTCCTGAAGAAGCTCTGAATATGTTTAATATAAATAAGTTAGATGTTTTTACCTCCAGTTGAATTGCAAAGATATCTAAATCTTGCTCTTTACAATATCTACACAATTATTAGTACAACTGGCAGTCATTTGATGAGAGTTTTAATTTATTTTGCATTTAAATAAATTTTGCATGGCATAGTAAGTTTAAAAACAAATGTTGCTTTCAATGGGATACACAGTTCCAATATCGATGTCTTAAGCGTGGTGTGATTGCATTTTCTCCATATGTTAAACAGAATCTCAGTTAAAAACCTTTGGATTTTTGTTAAATATCATTGAGAAACAAAATTTTCCAGTGAAATCCGACTGAAAAATAAAAACTGAACACATGTCAACAAGAATATTTTACTGTCACAGACTGATTACTAATATTGTAAAACTACGTGAAAATTTTTAAATTCCATTTCAACAACGTTCAAAATTGCTTTTTGAAGTAATGACCGATATTTTTGCCCTTACAAATGAGTTGCGGGTGCGGTTAAGTGTAGCAGGAGTACCGTAACGAGACACCAGAAGTCAGTCATCTGGCAATGGTGTGAGCATGAACGGCTACGACGTTCTATTTCCCCACAGTGCACTGCATTGCCCAAGACTGTTTGTGTACATGGAATAGCAACAGGCGGAGTGCGCACGCGCCAATCGGACTTCCCTAGGGACGCGGACAGTATCGAAGCTTTCCAAAGGGAGTTGTGTCACATATGCCTAAAAAGGGGCCTGATGAGGCTCGTGACCTACTGTGCATATTAATTTGTCATTGGTCACATTGCAACAGAGAAGTTAATCAGAGCGACCAATCTGCCCGATGGTATCACAAGTTCCGCCAGATACCTATAATTCCGAGTGGAGTCATGAAGGGGTTGTATTGTCACTGCATATGAAAACTATCACGCGTAACTTATATTCTAAATTACTTCCTCTAACTGTACAAAACCGACTAATGAACTACCATTTCATACAGGAATTCATAAGGAATTCCTGAAGTCAAATTCTTTTTAAAAAATAACAAACTTTTTGATGAGAGCTGTACTTCTGGTAAGAAAGTCTCTTAACACTAAAACCACAAATAATTGATATATTTTGCACAATTCGAGGCCTTGATTCGGAATATCCCAAAGTCTGGACAAATTGTTATTACACAGATCTTGGCACACAATCAATTAATGTTTATCAAAAAGTACCCCAAGCACAAAATTACTGAAAATATAATTCACTGATCTATTATAACTACTAAATTGGGTGTTAGGCTATGAAATTGATTTATCTGCCTCAGAATAAAGACCGGATCATGTGAACACGGTAATGAAACTTCACGTTTGATAAAATTGGTGGAATTATTACTAGCTATGCGACTAATAGCTTCTCAAGAAAGACTGTGATTCACTGGGTTTAGATATTCTATTTACGTCTTTAGTTATAATAATGAAGAGTGCCGAATATTAGACTTACTACCAAGTCAGGTATTTCATGACAGTTTTTGTAAGAACAATAGTATCCAAATATAGACATACGCTAAAAAAAATATGATGTATCATAGCGATTGTAGTAGAATGTATGTAATAATGTTGCGTTTGTTAACAAAACACACAAAAAAATTTCCAAACACACAGCACTCGTTCCACAATGATCATAAAATCTGATCAAAAAAGTGTATAAAATGTAGGGCGAAATCCAAAGCACAAATCAGTCTAGCCAACAACATGATCGCGATCAGCACTGTAATCTGGGCGCTAACGATTCTGGTGTACCATCACGCACAAGGGGATGTGAGTATTGGATACAAAGGATACAAATCAGCACAAAACGCTTCATATGCAAACGTCATTGACATCCCATATCCAGAGTAAGCAAACCAACAACTATTAACACTATAATAAGACACTATTGCCATTTGTTTACGCGTTTCGACCTCAAGAGGTCATCATCAGTGGTATCAGGAAAATTAATACATTTAGTCAAATGGTTCAAACTGGATTCAGAATTAAAAATGAAAAGGGTATTTGACAAAATATTCGAAGTGACACTGCAATAGTGTCTTATTATAGTGTTAATAGCTGTTGGTTTGCTTACTCTATATTCTAATACACTACACGGTATGCAAAGTTTTAAGATCCCATATCCAGTAACTAAGATTGTTTCTATTGGTACGATACTGTCACTATGCTCTTAGCAATTTAGGGATATCAATCGACATTGGTAACAGATACGATATCGACGAAAATTCTTCGACATTGATAAACAAAATGAATAAATACAGACATATAATTCGCTTTACGCATCACATAAAATCTAATGATAGGATGATTAGTGGATAAATAAATGGAAAGAATGTTGACAGTAATGGAGGATTAATTTAAGATAATCTCCCGGCATTTGTCCGGGAAAGACTAAGGAAATCCACAAAAAAGTCAGACAGGATAGACGGTCTCTGGGTCAATATCTCATCCCGGAAAAGCTGTGGACTATTATTGCTAGCATAAACTTCCTTATTCTTTCTCTGATGTGGACGTTAAACAAGCGGCCCCCATTCCCATTGATCAAAGGATAAACTGAACCACGGCCTACGAGAATTCTCATATTATAAAGGACAGTCTTTCACACTAGAGAGGCAAGCAGAGTTCAGGTCAAAACAAAACAAAAATTAGAATAGAGAAGCTACTTGAAGAACCCTAGTTATCAGAAAGATTAACCCATAAAATCTATAAGAATGCAAACGATGTAACTCATGTCGATTAATATTCTTTCTGCACCGTCTGCAAAGTTTAAAAGTCGTTCTCTCCCCGTTTTAACAGCTACCAACAATCCGACATAAAACTGGGCTGTTTTTACACCGAAATAAATACGTGAATTTAAGCGAATTTATTTACTGGAACTTAAAAATAAATAAATTACAGATCCCCCCCACCCGCCAAATGCAAACTCTGGTCTTGTCTCTTGCCTGCTAATTTCGGATCGAGTATCAGATAATTCACGAGGATACATCTAATGAGCATAAGAAACTGTTCTGCTTCCTTTTACAGCCGTCGTATGAAATACAAATTACTGAGATAAAATCGATATCTGACAATAAAGAATATGTCGATCCTGTAGAATTGTCAGCTGGAACATCAACTATCAGCATCAAATCCACAGTAAAAAAGGAAGTTCCCCAGGATGCCATTGTAAGTAAGCCTACAATAGAAACGCCTACAGTTCGAAGCAAGTAAATTTATAGACTAAACAGACAAATTACTGTGA